TGTAAGTTTGCCATTGTATATGTTACACTTAAACATAGAATATCTTGTCCAACATATTTAGAAGTTTGTACAGTGTGAGAAATTACTTTCTACAGAAAGAAGATTGTAATATGTAAGTCAAAAAAGACAAAAAAATATTTAAAGTAACTCTCAGCTATGCGTGTGCATGTCATCCATTCAACAAGATAAGTAATTTTCTAATTAATACTAGAAATTTAGCATGTGCAAATGCACGTGATATGAAATAGTTTTTGCTATTGCAATTTAATTTCATAAAGGTTTATGTGAAAAGTACTCAATATTTTCATGTAAAGAAAGAACGCATTTGATCCAAGTTGCATGAAAACGGGTACAAGTACCGGTGCGGGTGCGGATGCGGGTGGGATTACAGAACATGGCAAAATCATAAAATGTAGGGTACAGGAACACGACTACATATGCATATTGAGATTAATAATTTCTATGAGATTATTATTGTTTTTCAATTCATGTTTTACTAGAATTGGAATTCCTATTATGTTTGTCAGATTCTTTTATTAAGTTGATTACTATAAGTTCTAAGCTACTCGGTTTGAACTAGACACCCGAAACAACCCTTTAAAATCACATTTTTTAGCTGGGGTATGGGCTGAAACAATCCCGAATTATGTCTAACAAGTTTTAAGAAATGAATGTGAGCATTGTGAAGTGTAAGATATACATTCAACAAATGTCTGACAAGTGTTTTAAATTAAAACACATATCATATAATTGAGCACATGTCTGAATAATTGTATACAAATACCCAAGAAGTATCCATGAAGTTTGGGTATGAATAAGTGTCGGGTACGTGTCGAGTATGGATACGACTTTATGGTAGGACCCGGATAACATATTTGATACTCCAAAAATATGGAAAGAGAACACGTGTCTGGTGATAGTTCTTTTTCTGAAAAGAAGGTGTTCAAATTCTTCTTACATTTTTCATTATATTCATTATTCTATTAATAGAGCAGCATAGATAAATATTTATTATTATTCGAAAATAGACTTATCATCTTCTATTCATTTTACAGTCTAAAATATGAAGAATGTTTGTCCTAATTCTATAACATGGAATGTTCAGAAGAGAAAAGAAAGAGAAGAAAGGAGGAAAACTCATTTATAAAATTACCTTTTTTCCCTCTCAACTATAGTTGAAATGAGAAGATGTCCTCCAACTCTTTAATTCTTTTTCCTCGCCCCCATTATGTTTTTATACATTAGTATAGATATTGTAGTTCTTTAAAAAAAATCCTTATACTTTCTAAGTATCTTTTACTTTATCAAGTAAACAAATTTAACAAATATATGATATATCAAAATTAGGTAATTATCAGGGAACAATCACAGATTCACAAAGATATACTAAGAAAGTTACTACAATCTCCCATACGTCTTGAAATGATTTTACACATTTTTGGAACATGGAATGATATCAATGTCAGAAACCAATTATTTTTGACACTAGGGTTAAATGTGGACCTGAGATCCATAATATACTAGGGTATCAAGTACCTGGTTGAACTTCAATAGTCTCATACGACTAACAACTCCTCTTGCTTCCTGATCAAAGACATCATATCAGAACTCTTTCTTAGCATAATAATTGAGATTCAGCCAACATCATCTTTTAATAAAATGATTCAAAGGCTAACCTTGTAAGAGTAAGAATACCAATCCCCAATAAGAAGATCAAACTCGCCTTCTGGTCTTGCAAACGGAACAGGGATCACGATACGGTTGTTTACTCGGAGGGGGCCATAGCCTCCGGCTGACTTTAGGAAGTTGATGGAGGGGAAGTAGAAGAAGCTGCCAATTTGGTCTTTTACTTGAAATGCATATGTCCAGTTATTCCCAGGTTGAATTGGGCAGTTTGTTCCTGAGACTCCATCTTGCCATGAGTTCAGTCTTTGTTGAATTCCATTCCTGCATAAAAACTTTATTTTAGTTAGAAAGCTAGAGCTTCAATACAGGAAAACTCCAGTATATCTTTTAATGATTCAGTTGCCAATTTAGTTATGGAATTTTCAATGTCATATATACAATGTGTACAATGTTTCTAATCATCAAACATGAACATGAAGCTTATGATTATGAGGGAGAACATGCATATGTATCTATTACGAAACAACCCCAGGCAGGATAGATTTCACTGATTTTTTAGCAACATATGTGATTTCCAAATTGGAATTTTGAAGCCATCTGTGATACCTTTAGAAATTCAGGCAAAATATTTGAAACTTAAAACTATAAAAGAAACGACAGGGTTGAACCTAGTGTCAGTCTCAGACGCTCATCTAGGATTTTGAATGTTTGTGGCTTTAGATAGCTTACTGTGAGACCTTCTAATTTATCTTCAACTCTCTCAAGAAACTAGTCAAAAAAATTAAACCACCATAAGAAAATTTATTAAAAAAATATCACAATCTTAAGCTTTTCACTGTTTTCTCTTCTAGAAATTGTATGCAGAAGAAAATGTTAAGAGATCCTTGATTCCTCTACGAAATAAGAATACAGGAACAAGAACAAAACGTATGTCATAAGGACCTTAAGGGTATGGACTGATACTTTACTACAACACAAAAGACATGTAAAATAATTGGCAGTGTAAACACAATTGTTGAGCTTACAAAATCTTCAACAATTGTATAGGAGATATATGCAAATAAAATGAGGCGTCAGCTCATAATTAGTGTTTGGGCCCAAAACCTAATCACCTCATTGACTCAGTCTATCCGTCATTAATCAGCAGCAAAAAACCATTAACCTCGACTTTAACTAAAGGGTCATTTGCACTTCAACACCCCCAAAGTTCACCCGTCCCAAATCTCATAGCTAAATTCTATTTTGATAATTTGATCCCCAAAAGTGCAAAAAAACCGACTTTAACCTTATCCAAGAATAATATCACCACAGAACAAGTGAACGAGAAACAATATTCTTACTGAAGATCATTCGCTTGAGTTCAGGCAGCGCGAGGAACAAAAACAAAGTTTGGGTTTTGGGGTATCAAATTGTCAAAATAGGACTAAAAAGGGTGAAACTTTGGGGGTATTGAAGTGCAAATAACCCTCAATCAAATCTAGGGCTCCAGCCAAACTGACCCCATTTCGTCCAAGATATTAAACCTTAAAATCTCCCGAGCTAACAATACCCCAGTACAGGGATTTAAATAAGAATTGGGACGCGATTTTACAACAAAATCCTAAATCTTCGAATTCTGGAAACTAAAGCAGGTGATTTTCCCTAAGTGCTCAGGATTAGGGTTTCGTTGGTCTGTGTAATAAAAGTACAGATAAAGGCGTGAGCTTTACGCTGGAGTTTGAGAGATTTGAAGGGGATTGAGTTGCGGAGGATCGCTCGAACTTCTTCGAGCTTCTTCGCATTGCCGGCGACGAACGTCACTGGACGGAGCAACGAACCCGTCATCGCTTTTCGGATCACTCGCATAGCGAAATTTTCAAACCAGCCTCAAACCATGTTTTAATTTTCAAGACCAACCCTTTTTTTTTACCAAAATTGTCTCAATTTCTATCACGTCAGTTTAATTTTATTTCCTAATTAATCAGGGTTATCAACCCTAACTATTTAGGACATAAAAAATCGGATTTAAGATTTCTAATTGTGGTTTAACAACCTCCTAAACAGTTGAGGTTGCCAACCCGACTGTTTTGGAATGAGATTAAGCTGACGTGTCAAAAAGTGGATCGATTTTGTTAATAAAAAAATTAGATCGGTTTTGAAAATTAAAACATGATTTGAGGCTGTTTTGAAAATTTCTTCTTACTCGCATCTTTAATATTTTTCTTTTGTTCCTCAAGTCAGCGAGATTTCTTTTAGGCCCACCGATTCATATAAATTGTCTCAAAATTAGTCCCTACAAATATTGAAATTGTTACTAGGTCCCCCCATTCCTTATGACCTGTGTGTAAATGGTAAATGGCAAAGGACCAAATTGGATGCTTTTTTCTCTCGATAAAATTTTGAATTATTGGAAATTTACTGATTTACAGGTAGGGGGTCTACTTGGAAAAGTTGAAAAGTTCAGTGGGATTCGAGACACCCAAAGTTGAAAAGAGTTTGGTGGAATAAACACACATGGAGACTTTTCGTGAAAAAACTCCTCAAGTTCACCAAGAGTCATGTGAAATTTATCTAAATGATAACCTTAAGTTTTCACCGTTTGAAATTCTGAATAATCAAAAATTGCATTTGCGGATTTGGAAAAGAGTTTTTCTAACGGATGTCCATGTACGCTCATCAATGGATGAGAGAGAGAGATGAGTATAACCAGAGATATTGGAAAATGACTTAAGGACCCAAAATATGAGAGCAATGGAGGGGACATGTGAAGTGTCTCCTCCCTATTGCATAATAAGTTGGCTATCCCCTTCATTAATCCCATATTTTGGGTCCCGGTAGCAACACTCAGAGAAATTAGTGGAAGTTAGTAGAATATCACTTGCTATTCATTTTTTTAGTCTCTCTACATACCATGTAAAAAGCAATGGCTCATCGATATTATTAAATACGTTCACAAAGATGTTGTCGTTGGTGGTTGCGTTGATCAATGGTCCTGGAAACATTCCATTGACGGTGATAACCTGTTACACTCAAATAAAGCGCTCATCATCATATACAGCATCAATATTAAGTGAATAAATTTATAAAATGGGTAAATTTCATCTAAACCCTAATGTTTGGTCCATTTCTGAGATAACCCCTAAACTCTACAAATGTCACTGAGCCCCCTAAACTCTGTGGCCTGTCACAAAGCCCCTCAAGTATCTTCAATTTCTTCAACATACTATTGTGCAACCCCCAAACTTTTCCAGCATACTCCACAACTTTGGACACTATTTGTAGCAAAACCCAGGCTTTCAACATTATTGTAAGAATGCCCCTATGAACTCTTGATAGGATTCCGGAAAATCCCAATCCTCTGCCATTAGGAGGGCATGTTGAAGAAATTGCAAACATTTGAGGGTTTTGTGACAAGCCCCAAAACTTTAGAGGGTTTATCTCAGAACGGGCTAGACTTTAGGGGCACCATGTGAAATTTACCGAGAAAAATAAAACATACCGGCTGATCGGTGTTCGCTGGCGCGATAGTCCAATTGAATGCGACGTCCCACTCCAGAAAAATATCAGCAGCCTCGGTCGAGGATCCAAAGAGCGCAATGAATGAACAAAATATCAGAAATGAGCCACAGCGATCACCCATTTCCTCTTATGAATCCTCTTGAAATTTTGCAACAGTGTGTACTTAATGGTAGCCTTTATCTCTTCCTAGATCTTAATTAGCTGATGGAGGTTTCAAAGTTGCAAAATTTAGTTAGAAACAAGGTGAACTAGTTTGTAATTAAGCTGGTTATACTTGTATATTGCTCTTCATGTCAAATACGTTCATTGTTAATGCCGGCCTGTTGAAATGTACAAAGAGACAACAGGGGACTTGGTCCATACCGAATAAAAACTCCAATTGGTGAGTTAATGCATGGTTTCAAACTTTGGTCTTAATTATTATCTTACAAATGGAGGTTAAATCCAAGTGCGCATGGACTTAAGCGGATTTTGTTGGTTTATTAGCATTGATAACCAAATCGACAGAGGCAAAAAAAAAAGGGTGACAAGAAGCTTTGGGGCTTATAGAAACAAATTAACGATTGTTTCCACAATATTTTGAACACTACGTTTGGCAAAGGGTTAAGGAAAATGGGTTAAAGAGAAGGATTAATATACTTAGTCCATTCGATAATCTGAAGGACTAAATTATTAACCTGTTAAGTAAGTTCTATTTTAGCCATTGTGATCAGTTTTATTGTTTGAGAATAATAACGATTTTGACTATTTTCTTTATAATTAGAAGGATCAACTCTTAATCCTTCTAAATAAGAGTATTAGTAAACCCCTCATTTTGAGGGGTTAACTCATTTTAATCCCTCCAGAGAGGTTAGCTTAACTATTCTATATTTTTTATGTTTGGCAATTTTGTTAGGATATGTGAAGCCTAACTATCAGACCTGCCTTATACTTCAGAATGAAGAGGAACAAAGTGGAACAGGAGGAACAGGATCGACGACGACGAAGTTCAAGCAAAACGACGAAGGGTGCATTTTGACTGGGTTGGGGTCGACCGCGCATGGCGCGGCGGTCGACCGCCGAGCATCGCGGTCGACCGGATGTGGTGCGGCGGTCGACCGGAGTCGGATTTTGGCCCAGATTCGAATTTTGACCTGTTTTGATCTGTTTCCTTCTTTAGTTATTTAACCCTTAAGTCTATAAAAGGGTTGATTAGGGCATGATGTAAAAGAGACGAAAATAGTAAAATTTTCTCCTGCGGCGGCCGTGGACGTAGTTTCTCACATTGAGAAGCGAACCACGTAAATCTTGTGTATTTGTGATTGATTAAATTCTCTCTTCTCTCCTAAATCTCTATTTCCAAATCGTATCAGGGGGTTGTGCATCCTCAACAAGTGGTATCAGAGCGACCAGGTTCGGCGCGAGCGATTTGAGGTCAGAGACATGGGATCTAAGAAGGAAACATCCAAGATTGAGAAGTTTGATGGAACAAACTTCGGGGGGTTCTGGAAGATACAGATGGAAGACTACCTCTATCAGAAGGATTTATACCTACCATTGGGAGAGAAGCCGACGGATATGAAGTATACCTACCATTGGGAGAGAAGCCGACGGATATGAAGGATGCGGATTGGAAGCTATTGGATCGAAAGGTCCTTGGAGCGATTAGGTTGACCTTGTCTAAATCAGTAGCGTTCAACATCAAGAATCAGAATACGACGGCAGCGTTCAACATCAAGAATCAGAATACGACGGCGGATCTCATGGCGGCGTTGTCCAGTATGTATGAGCATCCCTCTGCGGCGAATAAGGTATATCTCATTAAAAAGCTGTTTAATTTGAGAATGTCCGAGAGCCAAAAATTCAAGGAACACCTGAACGAGTTTAACGAGATCACGGAACAACTAAACTCGGTCAATATTCAGTTTGATGATGAAATCCAAGCCCTCTTGATACTTAGTCAATTACCTGACAGTTGGAAGGGTACCGTTATCTCGATTAGCGGATCATGTGGCAAATCAAAATTGAAGTTTTCAGAAGTGGTGGACATGATTATGACTGAGGAGATTAGAAGACAAGAGGAAGGGATTTCTAATTCAGGGTCGGCGTTGAATCTTGAGAGCAGAGGAAGAAACAGAAACAGAAATAGAGAGAATAGCCGAGGAAGACCTAACTCGAGGAACGGGAGGTCAAAGTCCAGAAATCGCAAGAGAAAGAAGGAGATCGATTGCTGGAATTGTGGCAAGTTTGGCCACTATGAGAATCAGTGTCGAGAACCCAAGAAGGACAAGGAGAACAAGACTGAAGCGAACGTGGCCTCAGGAGAATCAGATGATGCCCTAATCTGTTCGTTGGAGAGCAAGACTGAATCGTGGGTGCTGGATTCAGGAGCTTCGTTTCATGCTACCTCAAATAGAGATTTATTTGAGAACTACGTTTCAGGAAACCTAGGACTACGTTTCAGGAAACCTAGGAAAAGTCTATCTTGGTGACGATCAGCCTTGTGATATTGCTGGCAAAGAAGTCGTGCAGATCAAGCTCAATGGGTCTATATAGAAGCTGAGTGATGTGAGACATGTTCCTAGCTTGAGGAAAAATCTGATTTTCATAGGACAATTGGAGAAAAAGGGATATGTATCAACCTTCGCATGTGATACGTGGAAGGTTACAAAGGGGTCCATGGTTGTTGCCCGTGGTACGAAGACAAGGTCCCTCTACATGACGATAGATGCACGTGGTTCTATTGCAATGGCTGAAAGTAAGGAAGACCCAAATTTGTGGCACCAGAGGCTAGGTCACATGAGTAGCAAAGGCCTAAAGGTTATGCAGTCGAATGGGAAGTTACCAGATTTGAGATCGACCGATATTAACTTATTTGAAAGTTGCATTCTTGGGAAACAAAAGAAAATAAGCTTCAAAAGGGTTGGTAGAAATCCTAAAGAAGAGAAGCTTGAGTTAGTTCACACAGATGTGTGTGGTCCAACATCAGTACCATCCACCGGCGGAAGGTTATATTTTGTGACCTTCATAGATGATCACTCGAGGAAGACTTGGGTCTATTTCATGAAACACAAATCAGAAGTGTTTGAAGTCTTCAAGAGATGGAAGGCTATGGTAGAGAACGAGACCGGTTTGAAGATCAAGAAGCTTCGTTCTGACAACGGCGGCGAGTATGAAGACTCAGAGTTCAAGAGGTTCTGTTATGACAGCGGCATTAGATTAGAGAGGATAGTGCTAGGTACACCTTAGCAAAATGGCATAGCAGAACAGATGAACAGAACGTTGACTGAGAGAGCTAGAAGTATGCGGTTACAAGCAGGTTTTCCAAAGCAATTCTGGGCAGAAGCAGTCAACACAGCTGCCTACTTGATCAACCGGGGACCATCAGTGCCTTTGGAGCATAAAATACCCGAAGAAGTATGGAGTAGAAAGCAGGTAAATCTTTCTCACCTGAGAGTATTTGGATGTGTTTCATACGTTCATCTGAGTGATCATGCAAGAAACAAACTTGATCCTAAGTCTTTGAAATGTTTTTTTGTTGGCTATGGCGGTGATGAGTTTGGCTACAAATTCTGGGATGAGCAGAATAAGAAAATCATCAGAAGCAGGGATGTGGTCTTTAATGAAACAGTCCTCTACAAAGACCGGGATGCCGTTCAGTCCACTAGTTCGGTGCAGAGTGATCCCACATACTTCGTGTCAGATGATGCCTCAGATGGAGGCAATCCCGAAGCTAGTTCTGATGAAGAAGAAGAGTTGATGGATGAGACTACTTCAGAGGGGGCAGATGAAGATGAAGAGCCTGTTTCGCCCGTCAGAGAGTTGAGACGGTCAGCTAGAGTCCCCAAGCCTAATCTAAAGTATCCATCACTACAGCCCAGAGCCCATCTCAACTACCTATTATTGAGTGATGGTGGAGAGCCAGAAAGTTATGATGAGGCACTTCGAGTGGATGATGCGAGCAAGTGGGAGGTCGCCATGAAAGATGAAATAAAATCCTTGAACACCAACAAGATATGGGAACTTGCGAAGCTACCAACGGGAAAAAAGTCCTTGGGCAACAAATGGGTGTACAGAATCAAAGAGGAACATGATGGTTCCAAGAGATACAAGGCCAGATTGGTGGTTAAAGGATTTCAGCAGAGAGAAAGAGTTGATTACACAGAGATCTTCTCTCCTGTAATCAAACTGCCTACCATCAGAACAGTCCTGAGTATTGTTATAGCTGAAGATCTACATCTCGAGCAACTAGATGTAAAGACAGCTTTCCTCCACGGTGATCTAGAGGAAGAGATATATATGCAGCAGCCAGAGTGGTTTACTCAGAAGGGAAAAGAGGAGATGGTATGCAGATTGAAGAAGAGCTTGTACGGCCTGAAACAAACTCCAAGGCAATGGTACAAAAAGTTCGATGGATTCATGCACAGGAACGGTTACTCCAGGTGCAATGCTGATCACTGTTGCTTTTTCAAGGAGTTTGACAACAGTTACATCATCCTGCTTTTATATGTCGACGACATGCTAGTAGCCGGTTCAGACATGAGAGAGATCAAGAAGCTGAAGAAGCAGCTGTCGAGTGAGTTTGACATGAAGGATCTAGGCGCAGCGAAGCAGATATTGGGGATGAAGATCAGTAGAGACAAGCTCTTGGGCACACTGCGGCTATCTCAGGCCGAGTACATTAGACGGGTACTTGAGAGATTCGGGATGAGTGGTGCTAAGGCCATTAGCACACCGCTAGCTAGTCATTTTAAATTGACTAAGGAGCAGCGCCCCGAGACTGATGAAGAGAAAGACTACATGGCTAAGGTTCCATATGCTTCAGCCATTGGAAGCCTCATGTACGCCATGGTATGCACGAGACCTGACATTGTCCATGCAGTGGGAGCTGTGAGCAGATTTATGTCAGATCCAGGAGAGCAGCACTGGGAAGTAGTAAAGTGGATTCTGAGATACCTACGGGTACAATAGAAGACTGTTTATGCTTCAAGAGAGGCAAGTTAGTTCTGCAGGGTTTTGTTGATGCAGATTATGCTGGTGAGATAGACCAGAGAAGGAGCACTACAGGATACGTATTTACTTTGGGCTCTACAGCTATTAGTTGGGTTTCTCAGTTGCAAAAGATCGTTGTTTTATCAACGACAGAGGCTGAATATGTTGCTGTGACAGAGACAAGCAAGAAGATGATATGGTTGCAGGGTTTCTTGGAGGAGCTGGGACAGAAGAGTGAGAAGAGTGTCTTACATTGTGATAGCCAGAGCGCAATTCATTTGGCGAAGAATCCCGCTTTTCATGCAAGGACCAAACACATACAGGTCCGCTACCACTTCATAAGATCAGCGTTGGACGAGGACATGTTGGAACTTGTGAAGATTCAAGGAAGCAAGAACCCGGGCGATATGCTTACCAAGGTTGTCACTACATAGAAACTGAAGTTGTGTTCAACTTCAGTTGGCCTCATTACTTGATGATATGGAGGCTGTCGCCACAGAGATAGCTGAAAGAGATTGATAGTTAGTCTCCAAGTGGGAGATTGTTAGGATATGTGAAGCCTAACTATCAGACCTGCCCTATACTTCAGAATGAAGAAGAACAAAGTGGAACAGGAAGAACATGATCGACGACGACGAAGTTCAAGCAAAACGACGAAGGGCGTATTTTACAGCTTTGCGGTCGACCGACCATGGCGCGGCGGTCGACCGCCTATGTGCACAGCTGGGTGCACAGGCCAGGAGCTCATCGCGGTCGACCGGATGTGGCGCTGCGGTCGACCGCTCAAAGTCGAGAGAGCAGGCCAGAGTTCTGTCTTCGTCGCGGTCGACCGAGCATGTCGCTGCGGTCGACCGCCCAAAGTCCAGAGAGCTCGATCAGGAATAGGATTCGTCGCGGTCGACCGGATGTTGGTGCGGCGGTCGACCGGAGTCGTTAGGAGAAGGATTCGTCGCGATCGACCGCGCGTGGCGCGGCGGTCGACCGCGAGTCGGGTTTTGGCCCGGTTACAGTTTTTGACCTGTTTCCTTTTCTATTTGTAAAACCCTTAAGTCTATAAAAGGGTTAATTAGGACATGATGTAAAAGAGACAAAAATGGTGAAATTTTCTCCTGCGGCGGCCGTGGACGTAGTTTCTCACATTCAGAAGCGAACCACGTAAATCTTGTGTGTTTGTGATTGATTGAATTCTCTCTTCTCTCCTAAATCTCTATTTCCAAATCGCATCAGGGGGGTTGTGCATCCCCAACAAAATTATGAAGGGTTAACGCACTTTAACCCTTATATAGATTTTTTATGTTTGACGGGTTAAGAAGGGGTTAAGTCTCCTTAACCCCTCACTTAACCCTCTGCCAAACGGTACCTAAGGTGAAATGTAGTCACAAGGAATTAAAATGTTCTTTGGACTCCACATGTAAAAATGTCGCTTCGACTCCACATGTAAAAATGTCACTTCTGGAACTCTATAGGAATCGTTTCATCCATTCAGTTTTATTCCAAGGCATCATCGAGTGAGAATTAAGAAAATGTATGCCTTTACGAAATTTTAGAAAATAACTACCAGGAGCTTTGATCAGGGACATGCCTAAGCATTGTGAAAATCCTCAAGACAACTGAAGTTTGGTCGTCTTTGTTAGTGAACTATCTAAATGGTTTATTTAGTGTGAGGTTCGTTAACGTGTCATCAATTTTGCTTTGAAAAATGAAGAGGACGGACCCGGACCTCTCTCTCTCTCTTGGCGGTAATTTGGTTATTACTACTCATACACAACTGTATATAAATTCATATTCAAATAGCATATATTATGTTCAAGACGGCAAGTATGACCACTTCGGTTATTGAGCATAATATCAAGTTTGGATTCGGCTTTTTTGTTAAGTACTAGTGGGCACTCTATGCAAAGCACGACCCTATTTTTTATTTTTACTACAATAATTCTGTTTTCTAAATGCCATAGTTATTTTTTTAAATGCTACAATAATAGTAAAAATGCTACAGTTTTTTATTTTTACTACAGTAATTCTGTTTTCTAAATGCCATAGTTATTTTTTTAAATGCTATAGTAATAGTAAAAAATGCTACAGCAACCGGCCTTTGCCACATCATATATTTTTCAATACTACAGTAACCCCGTCTGTTCTACAGCAGTAATACTACAGTAATTTACTGTAGCATGAATAGTAAATCTTTGAATCCTCTTATTATTATAAAGGAATAGATGTATAAAACACACTATTTTCTTGCTATAATCAAGCTAATTTGACATGACTGGTTGAGTGTTTTGGTAGAATTTACACTCATCTATGGCAGCAAAAAAAATCTATCTCTCTCATCATTCAAGGAAATGCTTTTCATAATACTGGAAGGAGAAATACAACAAATACACAGGTTCCAAATCGATGATATTCCACATCGAAAACCAAAAGATAAAATGGAAATACTACAAGAGATCAAGCAAACCCTTTTATCACGCTGATGAAGTAAGCAAAGCCTTATTTTAATCCCAAGTAGCTGCAACTGATTCATGAGTAATTTCAAACATCAATTCAAGGTAGAGGAGAAAGTCCAAGGTTGTGTATTCTGACAATAAGGGCATGCATCAAAATCGCATGCCATCTTAAAATGTCTCTCTCATGCAGAAAAGCAGCCAAGGTAAGAAACCGCAAGTTCCTGGGTAGCTCGAGCAGGAGTGGCAATACATATTTCTGGGCTCACATATCTTTGAATGATAAAAAAAATTATGGATACAAGGATCAAACTGAACACACCTCAAGCGATTACAATGATATGATACAAACTCACAATTTCCTTTCTTTGATTCCCCAATCCACCCCACTCACACATCAATACATCAATAATCAACAAGAAGTCAACAAATACAAACGCATGTACACGATCTTAAAGCAGGATATTGATGAATGGCTAAGTATGCCATCACTAAATCCATTGCTTTGGAGACTGGTTGTATTTTCAAATTCTTGTGGCTCTTTGAGTTTATGAGCAACAGCCAGAACTTTGCCTCGAATTAGATTCCTGCTTCTGTTTCAATATATTTTTCTTCCCAACTGTAGATCCTTCCTCCAATAGGCTAGGAATTTCCAAAATCTGCAAAGTAGGAATCTCATACAATTAACGTGTAAATTGTGGAAATAACTGAATGATAGTTAATCACCCAGACAATCAAATCCTAAGCAATATCAACAGCAAGCATGAACCTGCATCACTGAATTTACTGTGGTATAGTTAACAAATCTAGTATTCCTGCTAAAAATAATAATAGAGACCAGGGCAATTTTATGGACAAATTTTCAAAACCAACCTTTTTCGGTTTTTATTTGCAAAAACCGACCGCTTTTGAAAATAATTACAAAAACCGACTTGTTTTCAGCCCAGCGCTGAAAACAGGTCGGTTTTTGTTAAAAAATTTTCGAAACTTCACGGGAGTTCAACTCCCGTAAAGTTTAATGTATTTTTAAACTTCACAGGAGTTTAACTCCCGTGAAGTTTAATTTATATATAAATCTTCACGGGAGTTCAACTCCCGTGAAGATTTGCCCAAGATGCAACGCCAGAGCTGCTCTCTGGAAGTTGGCACTGCAACTTCACGGGAGTTGAACTCCCGTGAAGTTGCAGTCTCAACTTCTCAGTCTCAAGGAAAAAACAGGTAAAATCTTTCTAAAAAAAATTATACTCTTTAATTTTTGTATACTCTCACTATTTGATTGTGATTTCATATAAAAATCTAGATTTTAGAATTTAATTGTGAATTATTTATGAATTTTGTGAAGAAATGTGAAAATTAGAGGGGAAATTATCAATAAATGTGAAAATTAAAGGGGAAATTATCAATAATTTTATAAAATTTGTGAAGAATTAGTGTGGAAATTATCAATGTGAAATTAGTGTGGAAATTTCACAATTATTTACGAATTTTGTGAGGAAATGTGAAAATTAGAGGGGAAATTATCAAAAAATGTGAAAATTAGAGGGGAAATTATCAATAATTTTGTGAAATTTGAGAAGAATTAGTGTGGAAATTATCAATAATTTTTGCGGAATTAGTGGGGAAATTATCAATAATTTTGTGAAATTAGAGGGGAAATTATCAATAATTTTGTGGATTATTTACGAATTTTGTGAAGAAAAATCAAATAATTTTGTGCATTTAGAGGTGAAATTATGAATTAATGTGGAAATTAGAGTTACTACCTAAATGTAAAAATTAGTAACAATCAATATTTATTTTGCTTTTCGTGTAATATTGATCTTGAATTTTTCACTCTTCAGAGTTAACGATGAACGATCGAATCCTGATCTTGAATTTTTCACTCTTCAGAGTTAACGATGAACGATCGAATCGTAATTCTCTGTTCTTATGATAGGAAGATCAATTATCTCGAAAATAATATGCCTGTTTATGAAGGAGGCGCGACGAGACCGTTGTTCATAACAAAATCGTGTACTTTCGATGAGTTGGTTAATGAATTACACAAACTTACATTAACTAAATCATGTGAGTATCACCTCAGTGTGGTTTGCAATTATCCTGTTGTAGGGAACAGAACAAGTGGCATTCAAATATCAAGTGACTACGATATGGGTCTCATTCATGTCTTACACGACGAGAAGCGTTCGGTCGAATTGTTCATTGAAAAACATCAGAGGGATTTGGGCAAATCGTTGCACTCCCAAGGAATGTATTCCCGCATGTTGGAGGATCCTGAAGTTAATTTCGTAGGCTTTTTATCTCCTCAACAAGATGAATGTTGGACACAATCACAATACATGAGCGGTCCTTCGTTCGTGGGCACTTCGAATGCTTTCGATACTAACACGGGAATTCAAGAAGATAATGCAAGTGTCGAATCCGAGAATGATGATGAAGAGGAGGGATTACAAATTAATAGCATGACCTTGATAGATCGTGATGACGGGGAAAACCAACACATCGACGGGGCTTATGTTAATAATGAGTATGTCGGCTTAGAGGATCCGCCGCCCGATGAACTTCAAGGAGATGAATGGATTGATAACTCCGCGATGGAAAGTGTTCATATTGGCACTAATAGCGGTGTTGATACACAGGCCGAGGACTTCTCATTCATCAAGGGAGATCTTTACGAGAGTAAGGAGAAATTGATCCATGCTATTCGCACGTATTCCATTGCAAAAAATGTGAAGTTCAGGCCAACCAAAAAAACCAAAAATAATACTACAAGCTATAATGTGGTTTGTTTCTATCGCAAAGATGACGATGTCGAAGATAATAGTGGACACCACGACGGCAATGCGAGGTGTCCGTGGAAGCTTAATTCACGCTCGGGTGCAAGAGTAGGTGGGCAATTCAAAATCACGGCATACAATGGACTCCACACTTGTAGCAATCCTCGATTAGAGATGAATAACAAGAATGTGTCATCTTCTTTTATATATCGATTGATTTTACCGCATCTGAGGGAGCATCTTGATCTAAGGCCAAAAGATATCCGTCTTTTAGTGCATAAAGCCACCAACTTGGATGTATCATATCACAAGTGTTGGAATGCTAGGAGAAAGACGATGATAAAAATATTCGGGGATTGGGATAATTCGTATGAGATCTTACGTCATTATCTTGAAGCACTCAAAAGAGAAAATCCGGGGACTGTCTACGAAGTATCTTCGGACCCCGTTGATGGCGGAGAACGGCGGTTCACCGGTGTATTTTGGGCATTTGGGCCCTGTATTGAGGGGTTTCGATATTGTCGTCCCCTTCTTAGCATTGATGGAACTCACTTATATGGTAAATACAAAGACGTTTTGCTTGTTGCAACCGGAGTTGACGCGGATGACGGGTTGTTTCCTTTAACATTCGCAGTGGTTGATGTTGAAAACACAGAGAATTAGGCTTAGTTTTTTGCATGCATTAGATATCATATCCCTAGTGTGGGGACGCGGCCGATTACATTCATATCCGATAGGATGAAAGGAATTCCAAGAGTACTCCAACGACATTTTCCGCCACCACATGCACATCGCTATTGCTTGCAACATATTAGAGACAACTTCAAGAAGAAGTATGGAAACGCTCAGGTTCAAGACTTACTTTGGCAAACCGGTTGTGCAACAGAAAAATATGTTTATGAACAAATACGAGAGAGGATTAAGTTCATTTCACGAGCTGCACATGATTGGATCGAAACTAGTTTGAGTCCAAACAATGTTGATAAGTGGGCTTTATGTGAGGATGGCGGCAAACGGTTCTGTATGATGACTACGAACGCGTCTGAGAGCTTCAATGGCGTGCTCAGGGGAGCACGCGGCATGCCAATACAGGCACTAGTTGCTAAAACTTTTTACAGGCTTAATAAATTCTTTCTTCGACGTCGAGAACTTGGTGAAAATATGCGCTCAGAGCTAACACCGAAGGTTGATGAAATGCTAGCGGCTCGGATTGTACAAGCTCGGTCCTTTCAGGTCGTACGATATAGTTTTAATGAATGGGAGGTGCTCGAGGGAATAACCCATAGAGAAAGTCGCTCTTACAAAGTCAATATGTTGGTGGATCACACTTGTACGTGCACTTGTAATGTACCGCAACTACAATGGATTCCTTGTTTACATATTGTAGCAGCTTGCTCCGACCTACAGGGTGGTGCTCGCATTTCACATTATGAATTTGTCGCGGCTTGGTATTCTGCATACAACTATCAACAAACCTACAAAGAGTGTTTTCGTCCACCATACGATAGTCGACATTGGACACAAGATGGGCCACGGATATTACCTCCACTGTATAAAAGATCGGCGGGGCGCCCTCGTTCCGTGCGTATTAGAAATAGTATGGATGACGGACGTGAAGGAGCTAGGAGGAGAAATAAGTGCAGTAGATGTGATCAACCGGGTCACAACAAAAATAGGTGTCCAGTTAGTATTAGGCGTTGATTTGTATTATGTAGCGTTTGTAATATGTAGCGTTTTGTATTATGTAGCGTTTTGCACCCATGCATTTCACCTATGCATTTGTATTATGTAGCGTTTTGCACTATGTTTTGGTAATGTATGTCATTCGTATTTGTTATCTTTGAAGCGTATGATACTCGTTATTTGTAATATGTTCTGTATGATACTTTGTTCATTTCACCCATGCACTTGTATTATGTAGTGTCTTGCACTCTGTATATATGCTCATATTTTAATCACAGGTCTATTCATTATGGATCCGGGACCGAAAAATCCCGATGTTTTGTACCTTCAGGCGAGTCATTGTTCAGACCATATTGGTTCGGGAGAGGTAATACGAATAAATTAGATATATATTTCTTCGATTAATGTAATTTTTTTATGAATATACTTAAAACTTATTCTCGTTTTATGTGCAGCCCGTACCAAACATCACGATGATCGAGCATTCCCAGAGTCATTCGGCTTGGGTCATTGAGGATGAGAGGGTACTACTACTGATCGCTCAGGCCGGTTTTCGACCGTGTTCGACGATTCGTTATATTAGGCTTGATTGGCCGTTCATCACTACACTTATTGAGAGGTGAAGGCCAGAGACCAACACCTTTCACATGCATATAGGGGAGTGCACCATCACCTTACAGGACGTGGCCGTCATACTTGGACTCCGGATCGATAGACCGGCAGTTACGGGCACCGATGATCATAGTTGGCCGGAGGTATATGCTAGGCTTCTTGGTCAGGTTCCCGACTTGAGGAGTGGTGCGATGAAGCTATCGTGGCTTCGTCAGACATTTCAGAGCGATATACCAGAGGATGCCTCTATTGAGACGCTCCAGTTTCATGCTCGTGCATACATATTGCACATGATAGGTTGCGTACTATTTCCTTATGCGAGCAAGACTCTCGTACATGCACGATGGCTGCCACTGCTGGAGGATTTCGGTGTATGCGACGCACTATCGTGGGGCAGTGCGGTGTTGGCATATTTGTATCGAGAATTGAGTAGAGTATCTCTAATGCAGAATAAAGAATTCAAGGGATGTTGTACGTTGATACAGATTTGATCATGGGAGCGCATTCATATTGGACGACCCACTTTACTTATGCACCGTGACTTGGAGGGGCAGTATCCGTTGGCATACATGTATAATTGTACACACATATTTAATTCGTAACCTGAATATTTATACTTATATATTCGCTATTCTGCATATAGGTATAACGTGTGATACGCTCAGTACAGATCAGCGACGCGTCACCGTCAGTTTTACCGAAATGAGCTTGATGACCTCCAACACGAACAGGTAAATATAAAACTCAAGAAGTATGAATAGTATGAATATTATAGTTTTTCTGTATGATACTGATAAATTTTTTATTTTATTTCAGTTCAAGTGGAGACCCTATACACCGCCGGAGCTCGATATGCATTCTCTTGCATCTATCTGCCGAGATAGTCCTGACTTGTGGAGAGCCAGAGTTCCATTGATCTGTTGGGAGATCGTAGAGATGCATGTCCCGGACCGTGTGCTACGGCAGTTTACGCTCTCTCAGCATATTCCAGATCCTGTCGAGCAGATCAATCGTCGGCGACGCCCTACATCGCACCGGACTGACTGGGCCGTAGTCCGTACAGCCTACATAGACAGGTGGGTTCACAGGTGGGATTGCATACAGGATACGAGGCCCACAGCTGTTGACTATACCGCGTATATGCGTTGGTATTGGGGTATCACACGTAGATGGATCACGCGTGACCCACAACCCTTAGCTGGACACATGCCACGTCCACCGACAGATAGTTACATTCCTAGTGGGATGAATGAGAGAGATTACGTAAGTTTCTAAGCTAAATTATAACATTTTTTATTGAGTTGATACTTAATAAATTGTTTACCACGCAGGTCTGTGTTTTAGATAGCATTGAGGCTGATATTGATGTCACTGTGCCTGAGATTCATGATTCGGCGGCGTTAGGACTCCTCAGCAGGATTAAGAAGACCATAGCGCAGGTGTTTCATAAGACTCACGTCGACGAGTTCACAGGCCGTGAGGACAGATCTCGCTCATTTGGACAGGCGTACGCTCGACGTCGACGGCCACGTGATGATGACGCCGGCACTTCGCATGCCGATGGAGCCGGCACTTCGCAGCTTCATACACAGCCGGATACACAGATAGTTGCGGCTCATCAGCAGGAACCCAGGGGGCTCACGTCGACGAGTTCGCAGGCCGTGAGGACAGGTCTCGCTCATTTGGACGGGCGTACGCTCGACCCGGCACTTCGCATGCCGATGGAGCCGGTACTTCGCATGCCGATGGAGTCGGCACTTCGCAGCTTCATACATAGCCGGATACACAGATAGTTGAGACTCATCAGCAAGAACCCAGGGGGCGGGGAAGAGCGAGGGGGAGGGGGAAGAGAGGGAGAGGAAGGAGGGCAGCTATATTGGGTTGTATTTGAACTTATTTTGTTAAAATTTGGAACTTTCTTGAATTTTCAAATACTAAACTTTTGAAGATAAATTATTGTTCATATACATAATCGTGTGTGTTTAATTCATGGTTGAATCATGTATATATTGTTGTTTGCAAATAAATTGGCATATATATGAGTTATAATTCATGGTTGAATCATGTATATATTGTTGTTTGCAAATAAATTGGCATATATATGAGTTAACAAGTACGTATACAAAACATGCACAGCAGGCTGTGCATGTTTTGGAGGAGCTGCAACTTCACGGGAGTTCAACTCCCGTGAAGTTGCAATCCCAACTTCCCAGAGATCGGTTCTCTGGCGATATTGACTGTAACTCCACGGGAGTTCAACTCCCGTGGAGTTTTAAGAAGAAATTAAACTTCACGGGAGTTCAACTCCCGTGAAGTTTAATTTCTCAATAAACATCACGGGAGTTGAACTCCCGTGATGTTTCGGAAAACTTTTTACAAAAACCGACCTGTTTTCAGCGATGGGCTGAAAACAGGTCGGTTTTTGTAATTATTTTTAAAAGCGGTCGGTTTTTGCAAATAAAAACCGAAAAAGGTTGGTTTTGAAAATTTGTCCGCAATTTTATATGGCAAAAAACAAATCAAATGTTAGATATAGTGCACAAAAACGTGTGTTCCATATATTGATACAATTCCAAAAAACAAATATTATCATATTCATTGTCTTTAGGTGATTAGGTCCGTAGACTTCTCTGGACTTCTCAAGTTTCAAATTGCTTGCATGGGGTAAACAGTAAACTACAAACATAAGATAGGTTTTACTGACAAATAGACTTATTACAGATGGTGAGCCCCTCTCTTGCCAATAGTTTTCTGGATACGAATTGTGACCAACTTAAAGCATTGACATCAAATTGAGTTAAATGCTGTCAAGGTTGTCCACGGAGCTGTCTCAACATATAGTTTTGCTCCTTTGATGGCCCCAGTTTGAAGGAAAATGGAAAATGACAAGAAGGTAATGATTAATCCAGTTCACATACTAATCATTTTTAAGTCACATAATCCAAAGGTCTGTCGGTCTGCTGGTTGGTATGGGCAAGTGTGGCCCAAATGGAAACTGAAACATCTAATCTACAGAACAATAACTTTATCGTCATAAAGATAAAGCTCAAGTGATCATTTTGTGTTAATCTTGATAATTAACTACTGTTCCTCAACTCATACATCACCCCATCTAACGTTATTTATACAAAACCTGAGTAACTTCTATATTCCAAGTGAAATGGCAATGCTGCTAGTAATTATTATTCTAATATATCATTAATTGACACGAGATTTCTGTACAATGTTTGAGAAGATATGCTATAATATTGCATGCCGTGAAATATGATTTTTATCATAGCCATAGGTGCACCATCCAGCTCTTAAACTTTTGGGTTAAGTAGTGTCTATCGTTTCTTCCAGAGCAGATGGAATAAAAGCTTCCTGTTTCAAACCCTGATGTAAATGTTGATAGTTGCCTCCATGTGTTGTCGTACATAGAAAAGGTGCATGGGCCATCTCCCATGTGTAGATAATGTCCTTTTTTGTTGGCTCACCATCCCAGCTTATGGCTTTAGCTTTCTTGGGAAAAGGTGGCAGCAAAGATATCAAGAGTAATATAAAGAAACATCCCCAGTGGTCATTGTCATATGCTGTTATCCTTAAAACAATTATGTACCTTTAACGCAAGTTCTTCAAAGCATTTCACAACATTTGATCGAGTTTTTGCACTGCATTCAAGAAACAAGCATCCATATTCTTTTGCCAGGGCAATTCCCTCTTCTCTCGTCACAGCCCTTTCAGATTCCTTAAAAAGAGATGAAAATAATTAATAGTGTCCGAAACGTGAGCAACAGACAGATGCATACAGAAACAAAATAAATAACAAGCTTGATATATTAAGATGATCCTGTTGTACTTCACACTTACTCAAATGACAAAACGGAACCGAAAGAGAAACAAAGGTATCTGAATAGCATCAATTTATATCTATTTGCATGTGTTCATGCAAAAAGCATGCCTATACAAAAAACTATTAATTTAACATTGCAGTTCTTGCAAAATTTGTTAATCAAGGTACCGTTGTAAGAATTTCTAAGGAAGCTACTTCACAAAGGAAGTGAGATTAATTAAAAAAAAAACACCGGCTAGCTGCAAGTTTGGAAGATGGCATATGAGTTGTGACTTGCGCATGTTTGGATACACCCACCAATACATCTAATCCTCGATTCATTTTCCAATCACTTTATCAAATTGAACGAAATTCTTGTCTGGCTGTCAGTGTGAGTAAAATCCTAAGGATTAGAACCCAAATATTAGCCCAATCTTTTGACTTAAACTCCTTCCTAGCCAAAGGATTGATCTCTCTGGTAGCCAACTACCCTTTAGACAAAAGATAATGCCTTGTTCATGAGTTAATGCACTTCTGGGTGCAACTCCTGTGGATTCTCACCTGGTGAATCCAAAGGATTCTTATCCCAAATGAAATATAAATTAAAGAGGTGGCAAGTGCCAATCCTATCTTGTAATGTCCCAACTCCAACAACTTATGTATTGTTTATGAAATGTTTTTAAGATACGAATACTAAAAGAAGCCAAGCATAAAAATTGAGGAGCTACAAATAGACAATAAAAGATAGAATGTAACTTGACAACATTATGCAAGTAAAAATTAAGATATGCTGCAGGATAGTTGGGTTGAGCATGCAGAATACATAAAACAGATGAAACAAAGCTGTAGCAGTATTTATGGAATAGCGACATATAAATGCAATATACCTTGTCAACTTTATTTCCGACGAGAACTTTGACACAGTCCTGGTTTGTTGAATAAAGTTCTACTTCCTTGGTCCATACATCAGATAGGTTTGTAAAAGTTTCTCTCTTTGTTACATCATAAACTAGAAAAAAAAAGGATCCAAGAGTCAGTTCATTGTCCATACAATGCAAGCTAGAATATGAGACGAAAAAAGGGAAAAGAAAAGAAAAAAGTACTAAAGGAACTAATTTTAAATCAGTTGACCAGGAATAAATCTGAGGGGATATAGAATTGAAGGCAAATAAATATAAGCAATGACTCATAGCCTTGTTTTTAAACAAAAAAACAAAGCAGATCAATTTCCACCATCGCACTTCTCGCTTTGAAACACAAACTCGGCTTCAAAATCACATATAAGACCTTCATGTAGGACCTTCATGTAGGAACAAAATCTAACCACAAGGATGAAAAATAGGAAATGTGCTAAAAACTATATCATGAAAATTAAATAAAATAACTCCGCCAATGTTGTTTGTCAACACAGCCTGTCCCAAGCCAAGATAAAGGAGGAGGGTTATGTTAGGTAGCCGATAGCCAGCGTAAAACATAGTCGGACCCACATGCAAAATGAATCTTATTATATACTCGTTGGGGCGTTCCCACCGCGACGGTTTGCATTGATTCCACCCCGATGCAATGATAAGTAAGCAAGGGTGGTTTGCTAGGGCATCCCCCGGAAGCGACGCATTATATCGATGTCACCCTGGTGTAATGACAAGTAAAAATCTACAATCCTCTAATAGGGTACCTAATAGTATTAGGTATAGACTAGAATGGTCTAAGAGGGAAAATTGAAGGAGACTTTTACAAGAAAATAGAATTAAACTAGTCACTTTACCCTAATGGAAATGAAATAATAATTAATTAACTTAAAATAATTAATTAACTTAATAATATTATAGTTATATTAACTATATAACATAATACAATATATTTAAAATAGTTAAATAAAATTAACTATAAAAAACATAGTTATACTAAATACCATATTATTAGTATTATTTATTACTATATATACTATATATACTATTTTAGTATTTTGATTTTTTTTTTTTATTAATTACTTTAATTTTATTTAGTATTTCTATTTTATTTTGTATTTAATTACTTTTTACTTTGTTTGTTTTGTTTTTAGGGAGAAACCAAGACAAAGTAAGAGAGTTTTGGTTGTGTAAGAGCATCCTATATCTAGACCATATCTAAATGGAATCGAAATATAAAATAAATGTAAGTGGGGTTCCGTTGTATAAATCTTTAAACAAGATAGATATGTCCTATAGCAAACAAACTCTAAACTATACGGTTTGATTTGATCAAAAAAATTTCTTTTTCGCCTAAGAAGTTCTGGATGAATTGACAATTTCAATTCAAATCGAATAATTCAACCTATTCCACATTAATAGGAGTACATTTATGTTTCTGCTTCACGAATATGATATTTTCTGGGCATTTCTAATAATATCAGGTGCTATTCCTATCTTGGCATTTGTAATTTCCGGAGTTTTAGCCCCGATTAGTGAAGGACCAGAGAAGCTCTCTAGTTATGAATCAGGTATAGAACCCATGGGAGACGCTTGGTTACAATTCCGAATCCGCTATTACATGTTTGCTCTAGTTTTTGTTGTTTTTGATGTTGAAACGGTCTTTCTTTATCCATGGGCAATGAGTTTCGATGTATTGGGTGTATCCGTATTTATAGAAGCTTTAATTTTCGTGCTTATCCCAATTGTTGGTTCAGTTTATGCATGGCGAAAAGGAGCATTGGAATGGTCTTAGTTGAATATTCAGACAATCAAAAAAAGAAAAACGAAGGAAAAGATTACATTGAGACAGTTATGAATTTGATTGATTTTCCGTTACTTGATCAAACAACCCCCAATTCAGTTATTTCAACTACATCAAATGATCTTTCGAATTGGTCAAGACTCTCCAGTTTATGGCCTCTTCTCTATGGTACCAGTTGTTGTTTCATCGAATTTGCTTCATTAATAGGCTCGCGATTCGACTTTGATCGTTATGGATTAGTACCAAGATCGAGTCCTAGGCAAGCGGACCTAATTTTAACAGCCGGGACAGTAACAATGAAAATGGCTCCTTCTTTAGTGAGATTATATGAGCAAATGCCTGAACCAAAATATGTCATTGCTATGGGAGCCTGTACTATTACAGGAGGGATGTTCAGTACTGATTCTTATAGTACTGTTCGGGGAGTCGATAAGTTAATTCCTGTGGATGTCTATTTGCCGGGCTGCCCGCCTAAACCAGAAGCAATTATAGATGCTATAACGAAACTTCGTAAGAAGATATCTCGAGAAATCTTTGAAGATAGAACTTTGTCTCAACAGGAAAATCGATGTTTTACTACTAATCACAAGTTTTATGTTCGACATAGTACTCATACTGGAAATTACGATCAAGGATTATTCTATCAATCACCATCTACTTCAGAGATACTTTCTGAAACATTTTTCAAATCCAAAAGTTCAGCATCTTCACACGAATTAGTGAATTAGGCAAGGTTCTTTTGTGCAGAATAAGAAAGAGCGGGTCAATCTTTCAAAATTTCATTGGAAATAGAGAATACTTATACAAATAAAAATGTGGGAGAAATCAGGAAGATGCAGGTTCGTTTATCTGATTGGCTAGTCAAGCATGAACTGATTCATAGATCTTTGGGCTTCGATTGCCGAGGAGTAGAGACTTTACAAATAAAAACCGAGGATTGGGACTCCTTTGCTGTCATTTCATATGTATATGGTTACAATTATTTACGCTCACAGTGTGCCTATGATGTAGCACCAGGCGGATTTTTAGCTAGTGTGTATCATCTTACGAAAATACGGTATGGTATAGATAAACCGGAAGAGGTATGCATAAAAGTATTTGCCCCAAGGAATAATCCTAGAATCCCTTCAGTTTTCTGGATTTGGAGAAGTGCCGATTTTCAAGAACGGGAATCTTATGATATGTTGGGAATCTCTTATGATAATCATCCACGTCTTAAACGTATCTTGATGCCTGAAAGTTGGATAGGCTGGCCCTTACGTAAGGACTATATTACCCCCAATTTCTATGAAATACAAGATGCTCATTGAATGATAAGAAATTAATGTTCACTTATACGACACGGCTCCAGATTTTATTCAAGTCAAGGAATATTTTTGGTTTTGTTCTAGATGAAAGAGAATAACTGGACTCTAATCCGTATCGTAGTAAGGATGGACTAAAAAAAGACTTGATTGCTATTCCCTAATTTGGAAGATATCCATTTCGTTTGAGCAGAAACAATCGATGAATCAAAAAAGTTCTGCACCACGAACTTTGTACCGCGCATGTCAATCACTTGAAAGTAGCGTAAGCAAGAGTGAAGAAATAGCATAAATAAATACGATAGGAAATGACAAAAGAGTGGATTTTCTTTGTACTGTGTATGATATGAAATGTATCCTGTCTTTTCCTATCCTTCAACACATCTAGATGAATAAATATGTATCGCGTTCTAGACCATTAATCTGTATTCTGACCTGTTTTGTAATTGTTATGAATATATCTTTTCGATATATTATTCACGTGTCAGGAACCAGATTTGAACTGGTGACACGAGGATTTTCAGTCCTCTGCTCTACCAACTGAGCTATCCCGACCATTTCCCGCGCATGATCCTAGTAGAGTACTTGTATCTATGGAAATTAAATAGACTAAAAAAAGTATTTAAAAATTTAACCTAGTCCCCGATTTCTTAGATCTTTAAAAAGAAGACTTTCTGTAAGTTGTAAGTGATATGGACTGTGAATAATTCAATAATGGTAATTCCTTGACCATATATGTTCATTTGTACATGTATGGTATCTATTCAAACCAAATTAGGATAAGATCCAAAGATTTCTGTTCGAATCCGTTTTTGAAAGAGTCGAATCAATGAAACAGATATTGAATTTTCTTTGAACTTCTTATGAAAAAAAAAGAGGATAAATAGTTAATTAAAAAATGGGCTTTTTATTGGGGATAGAGTTAACTATAAAAAACATAGTTATACTAAATACCATATTATTAGTATTATTTATTACTATATATACTATATATACTATTTTAGTATTTTGATTTTTTTGTATTAAATTACTTTATTTTATTTAGTATTTATATTTTATTTTGTATTTAATTACTTTTTACTACTTTGAATATAGATACACTACCGAAAATACAATGTAATTAGTGGATGTCATGATTAGAAAAAAGATAAATATAATTTGTTTATAAGAAACTAAATGGATAGGTGAAAATTCTAAAGAAATTGAAAAGACCAGATATAAACTTTGGTACAAAGGAAATTACTTTTTACTACTTTGAATATAGATACACTACCGAAAATACAATGTAATTAGTGGATGTCATGATTAGAAAAAAGATAAATATAATTTGTTTATAAGAAACTAAATGGATAGGTGAAAATTCTAAAGAAATTGAAAAGACCAGATATAAACTTTGGTACAAAGGAAAAGAGAAGAATAGGAATGGAGTGGAAGTTCTTGTAGATAATATAATAAAAGAAAGTGTTGTAGATATAAGAAGAAGAGTTGATAAAATAATACTAATAAAAGTTATCTTAGGTGTAGAGGTTATTAATATTATTAGTACTTATGCACCACAAATAGGCTTGTCCGAGAGTACTAAAAGAGAATTTTGGGATAGATTAAATGAATTAGTACAAGAAATCTTATTTGGAGAGAAATTACTTATAGGAAGGGATCTTAATGGGAATGTTGGTAAGAATAATAATGGATATGAGAGGATATACGAAGGTTTCGGGTATGGAGATAAGAACGATATGGGTAAATCAATTCTAGAGTTTGCAATATCGTATGATTTGATAATAGCAAATACACTATTTAGAAAATGGGATGAACACTTTAAAAGTGATTTTAATAATAGTCAAACTGACTTTTTTCTTACTAGAATGGCAGATAGGTTAATATGTAATGATTGTAAAGTTATACCATGAGAGAGTTTAAGTACACAACATAGATTGATGGTCATAGACATATCTATTAAAAAGTAAAGTAGAAAAACTAACTTGAACAAAAGACTAAGAACTAAATTGTGGAATTTAAAAAGGAAGAATTTAATACATTTTAAAGATAAGATAATGAAAGAAGATAAATGGAATATAGATAATAAAGACTAATATTACGTGGAATAGCATGTTTTTTGTATTAGAAAAGTCGCTAAAGATCACTGTTATAAATAGAGATAAATATCCCCGCAATCGCGACGCTAATAGCGTTAGCGGTCCCTTCCCGCTACGCTATCGCCCAATAACGGTGACATATTGTGAAATATGCGCTTTCCGTTCGCAAAAGCGACCAATAGCGCACCGTAACGATAAATAACGGGTGATTACGTACAAAATCCGCTTTTTGACTTTTATTTAAAAGCGGTTTGAAGTTTTTTTTTTAAATTAAACCTAACCCTTGACCACTGCATTCCATCGCCTACCGCGATTTTTGACATACTCCCGCCGCCTCTCATAGTCACTGGCACCTAACTCAGCACTACCTCTCATCTCCTTCACCGTGAGCCCTCCTAGGGCAGTCCTCTCATCGCTCAGCTCATCTTCTCGAAAACCACGACTCTTTGACTTCTCCTTCAGTCGTCTTTGGTATTATGTGACGGTTACATGTTTATTTCATGTTTAGGATCTCTTTAAATCATCAAATATGCACTTTTAAATTTTTTAGATTTTTCTATAATCTTTTTTTAGTATTTATACATATTTAAATTAGACCGCTATTTAATTTTGTGTTTTTTACCGCTATTTTGCCGCAATAGCTTCAAATAGCCTTAGCGATGTCTCACCGCTACGCGACGCTATCCACTATCGATAACCTTACAAAAGATATACTAGGAGAATCTAAAGATTGTAGATTAGGCGGTAAGGAGAGTTGGTGGTGGAATGAGTGTACAAAAAATTATTAGAGAATAAAACTTTATATAAATAGTGACAAAAATGTAGTAGTAGGAAAAACTTAGAAAAATATAAACTAGTAAGGAAGGAAGCAAAAAGAGCGATTAGTGAAAATAAATACAAAACTCATAAAAAATTTTATAAGAAGTTAGAATCTAAAAAGGGAGAGAAAGATATATATATAAGCTTGCTAAGATTAAAGAAAGAAAAAGTAGAGATTTAGATAATATTAGGTGTATTAAAAATGAGGATCAAAGAGTTCTAGTGACCGACGGGGAAATAAAAGAGAGGTGGAGGTTTAATGATAATCAAACAAGTGAGTAAAATAGAGATTTTAACTATATAGTGAATGGTAGGAACTATAGATATTGTCGTAAAATTAGGATTAGCGAGGTTAAAGATGTTCTAAAGAAAATGAAAAGTGGACGAGCCGTAGAACCAGACGATATTTCTATTGAATTTTGAAAATATTTTGGAGATATAGGCTTAAGGTGGTTAACTAAACTATTTAATAAGATTATCGAGACGAAAAGAATGTCGGATGAGTGGAGGATTAGCATTTTGATACCAATATATAAGAATAAAGGGGATATACAAAGTTGTTCAAATTATCGAGGTATAAAACTCATGAGTCATACTATAAAACTTTGGGAGAGAGTAATTAAGCAAAGACTAAGAAAAGAGATATCTATATCTGAAAATCAATTTGATTGTATACCTGGGAGGTCAACTATGGAACCTATACAAATTTTGAGACGGTTGATGGAGAGATATAGAGAGAAGAGAAAGGATTTACATATGATTTTTATCGATCTAGAAAAAACTTATGATAGAGCACCTAGAGAGGTAATGTGATGGGTTTTAAAAAAGAATCATGTATCTAGTATATATATTGATGTGATTAAAGATATGTATGATAGAGTAATAACTAGAGTAAGAACTAATGAATGAGAGACTAAACTATTTCCTATTACCATAGGTTTACACAAAGTGTTAGCTTCAAGTCCTTATCTTTTTGCATTAGTTATGGACCAACTTACTAAGCACATTCAGGATAAAATTCCATGATGTATAGTATTTGTTGATGATATAGTATTAGTTGATGAAACTAGAAGAGGCATTATTGCTAAAGTAGAAAGATGGAGACAATCTCTTAAGTCTAAAGATTTCAGAATTAGTAAAACAAAAACAGAATATATGAAATGCATTTTTAGTAAAAGTAGGAAAGAAAGAGAGCATATAGTACATATTAATGCCTAAAAAATACCTAAAACTAATCATTTTCGCTATTTAGAATCTATCATTAGGCATGATGGTGAGATAGAGGATGATGTTGTGTATAGAATCAAATCGGGATGGTTGAAATGGAGGAGTTCTTCAAAAGTCTTATGTAATTGTAGAATACCAATGTAACTAAAGGAAAATTTCTATAGAATGGTTATAAGAACTATGCTTTATGGGTCAGAATGTTAGGTAATTAAAAAACAACATGTTTAAAAAATGAGTGTAGCAAAAAATGAGAATGTTACGATGGTCTTGTGGGTATACATTAAAAGATAGGATAAGAAATAAATGCATCTGTAGTATATTAGAGGTTGCGCCTATTGAGGATAAAATGAGAGAGAATAGATTAAGATGGTTTGGTCATGTACAAAGGAGACCCCTTAGTGCACCAATTAGAAAAAATGATAATATTAGAGTTAATAGGGCTAGGTAATTTAGAGGTCGACCTAGAATGACTTGGTCAGAAGCAATTAAGAAAGATATGATTAAGACTAACGTAACGGAGGAAATGACCCACAACAGAATAGAACGGAAAAATAAGATTCATGTAACCGACCCCAAACATTTGGGATAAAAGGCTTGGTTGTTGTTGTTGTTGTAGGAAAATTAAATAAAATATTCCCTTCCATCATCATGTTTGGGAGAGACAAAAATGGAATTATATAAAAAATATCAACATTAATTAACTAGATTAGCTCTAGAATGCCAGCCTGTCAACTTGCTCAGATGACCAACCTTTTTGATTTATAAGACTTCATGATCCATGCTAACTGCTGATGTGTTGCTCATTATGAAGTGCATATGTATATCACACGTGTTTCTACTTTCAAAGTATATCCAGTTAAATGAAATTCACTTCCCATAAGCAGAGCAGGATGCATATGTGGCCCCGAAAAAATGAAAAATCTTGATCTATACATCATACTATGTATATGAACAAAAAATAAACATTTCGAAGATGTTTAATGGTCTATCTAATGGATGCAAAATGTGTAGTCTAATATAGAATGAAACGAAATCTTAGACAGATGACATAAAAGTTTTTCTGTAGAAACTTTTTTGTTCATATACATTTTCATGATAAACAAGATGAATAGGGTGGCTAGTCCATTTGGACGAACCATCAAAAAGTTTCAAACCTCAAACTATCTTTAGGGAACCATAAATCCTTATCCGATGCGTATGTGTGCATCTAGTACTTAGGTCAAGTATTGAAGACAAATCCTTCTCATTTAAATTCAATGTTTGGAAATTCATATGAAAAACACTGTTACATTTTATCTACATCATCTGGCCTACATAAAATAAAAAAGATCTTTAAATTTTTTTGTCAAACCAAAAGACACAAAAAAGCGTAAAAAGTGAGTAGGTAAGTTTTAACACGTGAAGTGTTTGAGACGTAAGACCTAAGAAAAATTGGTTTGACAGGATTTTAGCGTTTAAATCAGATTAAGCATTTAGATCAAAATTTTCTAAGCACTACAGTCTAAATTTAAGCAAGAATATCACTTCCGATCGTACCTTTTGTGCCTACGATCCATGGGTAAGAGGAGAAAAATCACCACTGATGGAGCTAAAAAAGAAATTTCTAGTGACAAAAGTCAGCAATTGATCTCAATGTTAAAACAAAATGATTCCTCTCTGCCCCAAAAATGAGCCAGGTGGACTTTGTTATAGCTGTTGCTTGAATCCAGTTTAAGCATCCATGTTAATACGACATAGTGAGGACAAGAATCAAATTAGGCTGGAATTAGCCCATATGTGCTTAAGGAGTAAATGGCCTGAAGGTTAAGTATGTTTACGCCCAAAATGAGCTGTTCCCTTCTGAGTCATATGGGTTCCATGCCTTTAAGCCAAACATCCACCAGAAGCTTATGGTCCTTTTTGCTAAAAGAGAAGAGTGGTTTGTGCACTCCACAAAACCCACACTTTTCCCCCTCCAAACTCTCCCTAAATTGTTCTGAAGTAGATTGGAAAGAGAAACATACCTCTCTTAAGTTTTTTTATCAGATAGTTACTCTAAGAGAACTCCGTGAATAATGATTCCTTTTACAATTCAAGCTATCAGTTTACAACACCACAACATCCCAAGATGGTGAGGTTTAGAAAAATCTTAACGTTGTTCAAAACAAATTATTCTTAAATATGTCTTTACATTGCCGATGGAAGAGGACGAATAGCATATAACAAATAACATGCATATAGAAATGACAATAAACAGCAAATATCAAGTGACGTACATATAGAAACAACAAGGAAATACCAGACAAAAATAATACTACTTTTTTTTAGCTAATTGCGAATGCGATGTCAAATTGGTTTCACATACCGAGCATGATTCCTTGAGCACTTCGATAATAGGAACTAGTTAACGTCCTAAATCTCTCTTGTCCAGCTGAAAAACACACGAAAATTCTTGTCTCACAAACAAAAGATTAATACATAAACACACATTTGATTGCTTGCAGTTCAAGTTTAAGCAGCATATAAGCTGAATTCCTTACCACCAAAAAAATTTCGACATGGATTTGATACGTCCCAATTTATTGGATCAACTTTCGCATACATAATGTAACAACCTTATCAAAATGATTTTCTTGGGTCTTATCTTATTTACAACAATTTATCAACGAATTCAACAGAAAACGCTTTTTCAAACTTTTAGCACCCAGAAGAACATGAACAAAAAAACAAATGTGTAATTGCTAACCAGTATCCCATATGGTAAGCTTCAATTTCTTTCCAGCAACAGTAAGATGCTTGATCTTGAAATCCACACCTGCCCATGTTAAATTAAATTAAAACCTTAAATTCCTCAAAATTTCAAAATAAAATCACGAAGCACAGAAGAAGCCACAGTGCAAGAACCGTAAGTGGGACCCGGGCCCATTAGCTCATTTGGGCCCAAAGGGGATCCTAGATTTTCAAGATCCTTACATGCTAAACAACAAATTATGACCCAAGATTCTTCAATAATTAAAATTCAAGAAGAAATTGAGGTTACCAATTGTAGGAGCGAGATCGTCGAGATGAGAGGAGGTGAAGCTAAAAAGGAGGCTGCTTTTTCCAACTCCAGAATCCCCAACCAACAAAATCTTGAAGGAGTAATCGTAACTATTGTTTGGAGAGGGAGAAGCCCCCGATGATGATCCCATCTATCTAATAAAAATTACAAGTTTCTAGACAAAAAAAAAAGATGAGATTTTTTCCCCCTAAAAAATGAAATTTTTTCCCCCTCGATCTCGCCTTCTCTCTCCTCCAACCTCGATGCTGGCGATGGTGGTGGGGTTCGTAACTGGTGAAGGGAAAGTGAAAGAGGAGAGAGAAAGTGAGTGAGAGAGTGAGAAGAGTTATAAATAAATTTTTTTATGAAATAAATGAAGGTGGCGATAATAATAAAAATAAATAAATAAAAGAAAAGGAGAGATTGAGAGGGGGGAGGAGATGGGAGGGAAAAGTCGGATCGGCGTTTATCGTTTCGTTTTCGTCGAATCGTTGCGTGACGGCCGACACCGATATCAGGAATCGTCAGCCGAAAGCAGCAGAAAAAGAAGGTGACAGACTGACATATGGATTATTTTGTTTGTGGAAAGCAAAATCAACAAAACATAAAATGTTAGGGGTTTTTCAGTATTAGCCTCTTACATCTTTTATATATTTTAAAAATTAGTCTCTCAAAAATTTGTTATTAGGTCAACAAAACAATTTAACTAAGATAACCGTAACTTATTACCTTTTTTTTTTACAAGGATAAATTTCAGAAAACTCCCCAAAAGTTGGGTGGTGGTGGTGGTGGGGGTTGGGGGGGTTGAATGAATCTCTTTTACCCTTTTTAAGTCTACTAACGTCTCCCGCAAATTTTAGTTGTCTCACAAAACACCGAAAAATTTTCAAATTTTTCAATGGAAACATCAGGATCAATAAGCTACAAAATCGGTACACGGTCTGTGATCCCACTAACCCTACTAGGGTTCTATTGAATATTTTCGAAAGTTTAGAAGGATTTTGGAAAATGGTCTGAAATTCGAATACTCTTATTACAGATTTTTTAAAAAAATTAAGATGAATATGAGGTGGGTCTCAATTTCTGAAGATTTTCTGAAAAATAATCAAAGGATAATATTGGGTGACTGTCTGCTTGCGCATTGTTTGCAATTTAAGGAGGCCGCGTAACAATCTGAGACCAAGACCAGTGTGCGTCGCTATCCCAGGCCCAAAGAGAATGGGTCCGGCCCAAATTTATCCAGAGTACACGAATATAGACTAGCGTGTTTGTTTTCTTATAACAAGGAGACAAAATAGCAAGGTTAACCCTGACGCCACGTGATCCCACCCGTGTCTCGCACGAGGCCGGCGGTTGACGGGGAATTGGACGCGTGTGAGTTTTGAGGTGGAGTTTGTTAAACTAGATAATGATTTTTATTATTAAGTGTCGACAGCTAACGTTTCGGAGATAGCACGAGCCGTGTCACACTTTTTGTAACACGTAACCCGTATGAAATTACGGAAAATGATACGCATTCGAGAATTTATTCTAGATAGGTCCACGAAGAATAATCCAAGAATAAACTTGAAAATAAAAATACAGATTAATGACTGTCTTAAATATCTAACGCCTAGTTTTTAGCTGGTTCGAAGCCATCATCCAACGCATGAGACAAGTCGCATGACGTAACGTACGCAAACTCATGGAAACAGCTTGCTTAATTAAACTCATGCTAGTGATATAATGAGGTGCTAGTTATGATGAGAGCGGGGGGGTTTTTTTAGTCTTAATCAAGGTGGTCATATTTCTGATGCTTGCCACATTTATAGCGCATCTGATTGTTTTAAGCGGCATTTAAAATCGTTACGTGTCTAACTGTCTGAAAAGACAGCTGTGTTCTTCTCCACTTGGTTTTCTCTAACTTCTATTACAATGATTAATTAATTTCTGAGTGGCCCACCAAGCAGCGATGCATACGGTTTTCGAATAAGGCTCTGTATGAGACCTATTATATCCCTATCTTTTTACCAACCACAAGTATGGGTGTGAATACGTCTTTTAAGACAAATTTATATCAATATCTGCTAAAATTAGACATGAATGAAAATATATTTATACATATATAAGCAGATATCCATGTGACACAAAACAGATATGAAAAAACTAGATAATATTAAAAATATATAATTCCTATGATACAAGACAAGGAAGTTAATTAATATGTTCATTATATATATGAAAAAACTAATATTAGATCTCTTGATCGTCAAAATTTACTTCAAATCTATTAACTTATGGGTAAAAATTATTACAATTGTATGAAAAACAAAAGTTTGGATATTTCGGATATGGATCCAGATATTTCACAGTATTTCTGTATCCGTAATCATATCATATTCGATATAAATTTTAGTAATAATATTTGCATTCTAACAGATACGCAAGCCTAGACCTGATTCCCGAAAATCTTAGTTACCATATCCGTATACTCCTACTAATTACCGATACAAATATCTCAAAAAGAGAAACATATAGACATATCCATCAAAATTAAATACGAATGTAGGTCCAATAATATAAATCATATACAGATAAAAAAGCAGTTTCATATATATACAGATCAACATTCTCAAAGCTGGTGGTGCTACGTGAAAATGACACAATGCGTAGTTTCACTTCCCATTTATTTTCCGTTGACCCTTTGGCCATCCATATTAAAGTTTTAACAAATACTAATGCTTTCATGTAAGATGAATATATGCAGTTCTGCATTGTGAAATTTAAGCTTGAAGAAGTATAAGCACATGTATCTTTGATAACTTAAAAAAAGTTCAGCTAAAAAACTCTTAAATGATAATTAAGAGTACTTTTATACAAAATTGTAACAACATGGCCTTATACAAAATTGTAACAACATGGCCTCGATGATCATACAGTTGCTACAATGACCAAAGTAACAGGCGCAAGTTGCTATATCCCGTGTAGAAAAACAAGCTAACAAGTTACAGAGACTACATAGATATTACAAATATCGGATGAACGCCATCAGTTCTCCATAAGGAACCTTATTCTTTATTTTAATTATATTTATTGGGGAAATCTAGAAACCCATTTGATTCAGATGTTTTAGTACCGATGAATGAGATCCTTGAACGCCTCCTTATTATTTCCATAGTAGTCAATTTCCGCCTGCAACATAAATATTTACATGAATATACCAAAAAAACAGAAACCACTACATCATTGTAAGTCTTTACCCAAGAAAGAAGCATGAACGGTTTCTCCTTGTCTTTTCAAATAAATAAGGATGGTTTAACTCGGTAGCATATTCAAATTTAAAATGAGTCAAAGATTAATTATCTGGATAGTTTTAGAGGAGAAAAAAAAATTCCCTGTACTGTTTAATTTGAGTAAACCACCCCAACTTTTGAAACAAGAGGAAAAAAAAACCAGATCTTTACACTTGTCAACAAACCTCCTTTACATTGTTCTTCTAAATATAAAATGACTGAAATGCCCTTCAGGAAAACATCTATTTCATTAAAAAACCTTCGCACGATTTAAAAAAAAAAAAGAATCGTCCACAAAGAAAGAGGGCGAAAACACAAGAAATGATTCACGGTGTTGTTTAACTGGTTAGTAGAGAACGGGTTTAAATGAAATGGGTTTTTTCCTCACAAAAAGGCATTTCAGTCATTTCATATTTCAAAGTGACAATAAAGATGAGGAACTTTCCAAACAATTTAACAATATATCAACTAACCATCTTCTGATGTGGAAGTAAATCTTTCTTCTTACATTTGCTAATGGACACACAACAACATCTCTATAAATACTTAAATTATATGCCTAAAGGGAATTTACCAAATGGGTATGTGCAGGTGAAGAATTGCCCCTCCTTGCCCACAGCGGTAGAAACAGTAGGATTGTGGGAAGTCCTAGGTTCAATTTCAGGCCTATAGCACATGTGTCGCTATTATCAACCTGTGTCATATTGGAAATGTGTCCAACATGCATGTCGCACAACTTTGTCATGGTATTCTTAAGAACTGCTGTGTGTGGGCGTATCGTGTGCAACACAGGGTATTGGTGTTCGAGCAACATCGTCCTAATGTTGTAAAAAGCAGGCGCCTAGGCGGTGCATCCAACATGGATATTGCACAAGTTTGTCGTGTGCACTATTAAGAAGAACTACTGTGTGTTGGCTTATTGTGTGCAACACCAGGTGTTGGTGTTCGAGCAACATTGTCGGATAGTCCAGGCTATGGCTTTCAAAGAAATATTAGAAAAAATTCACAAGTGCAAGTGTGTTTCTCTGTATAAATCAATTTACTCCTGGAGGGGATTTCTGTCCTCTGAATATTTTTATTACGTTTTCTTTCTACTCTGTATGAATCAGATCTACACTGACATTTCACTTCACTTGATGATATACATCCCGGTCAAATAATTCATTTAAATCAATAAACTCTAGGGTGAAATTTAATCCCCTCTCAATATTTCCATTTAAATCAATAAACTCTAGGGTGAAATTTAATCCCCTCTCAATGTTTCCAATCTGAACATATGTTTCACTTTAATACCACCAACCTATAACAACTACGCAAATACTGAATCATTACTTTGTTTACTATCAAGAATACTAAGGCTTCTTAGTAAAATTGCCCGCTCTTTCAGAGTCCCTCTCCATCATTCGCCAATCAACAGCCAAAGGACCTAATAAGGATGCATCTATGCTAAAGTGAGAATTTTCATGATGAACAGCAGTGTAATGTGGGAAGTGGTAATGCATTTTGAGCATTCTTGGCTAAATATTCTCAAAGTCAACATGATAATTTCAGCGTCTTACCATACGAACACCTTTAACAGCACTAATAACTTTTTTGCCAAAAAAGTTCTTCAAAACTTCATCCTCATCAAGTGCTACTACAGATTCCTGCAAGTTTTGTGGCAATCTTTGAAGTCCGTCACAGCCAGAAGGATTTGTATCTGTCAGAGAGGAATTTAACAAACTCATTAGTTGAAAGATTATCTCCTCTCCCCATCACCGCTAAAAACGGCAAGAAAAAAAATACTCTTGACTCTATACTAGGTTTGCTGAACATAATAGAAGCTGAGTAAGAAAACATGGAAGATCTTTTTACAGAAAAAAAATTTGAAAATTTGGAAAAATGAAAAAGAAATACTTTCTAAGTAAAATATAGAGTATTGCTTTCCAGTTGGAAAAATGAAAGAAGTATTTTATTAGGAAAAAAATGTATATGAGCTGATGAGCTGTCCACTAATGTCTATAGTGTTTAAGCTCACCTAGTTGTCACATCAGGTGGGTGTCAGGTGTAGCGTTTATGACTGGTGTCAGCTCATATCCATTGCGCTCATTTTATTATCGATAACTGAAAGTGCTAAGGTGGGATAGAGATGTAGCTTTTATGAGTGGGGTCTAGTGTTTATAAGTGATGTCAGCTCATACTCATTGCCCTCATTTTATTATCGATCACTGAAAGTGGTATGAGAGGACATAGATATAGTTTTATTATAACCTCTTCCTCTACATTATTGTTGTAATCACTCCCTTTAAAAGCACGAGTTTGGAGAAATCTTTTGGTAGACAAAAATACCCTTCCATTAAGTAATAGTAAGTTGATAAATTGATCAATTCTTATTGTATATACATAGTATGAAGATAATGATATGGTTTAAATTGAAATGTAAGCCTTAATAAAATTATTAAATATCAAATTTACAAATGTATATAAGATGAAGGGCGTATATGCAAAAACCAAGATAAATAATGCCTGCCCCAAAGGTCAAACCTAGAAATAACCAAGACCTACAAATGTACATAGTGTGGACGGGGTAGTTGTAAAATCCACCAAACAAATTAAAGAGACAAAAGTCGTTCTCAAAATTATAAAAAAGTAAAATTAAAACAAACAGTCACGATCTAAGGACACGACGTGACGATCTCTCACTGACTAAAATTCAAGTAGTTCACAGTACTGCATAATTATTTTAAAGTTTAATTATACTATTATTATTTAAGTAGAGCTCTATTTATAATGTTATCTTCTCACATGCAACATCGCATACCAATATATATAAGCTAAAAAATTACAACAATTTTCATAGCACTTTCATCTCCTTCTATAGGTGTGTGCCTTTGTTATTTTCTTCTTATTAGATTAGATTAGATTAGATTGTTTAAATATTATGAATTATGAAATAGCAATAATTTTCACAGCACTTTCATCTATTTTCTTCTTATTAGATTATATTAGATTATTTTAAAGCAATTAACTATATTATATGTTTGATCTTTTTTTAAGATCAGAAATTAGAATAAATTTTCATAGCACTTTCATCTCCTTCAACAGGTATGTGCCTTTGTTATTTTCTTCTTATTAGATAAAAATTATGAATTATGAAATTGCAATAATTTTTACATCACTTTCATCTATTTTCTTCTTATTAGATTAGATTAGATTAGATTAGATTATTTTAAAGTAATTAATTATATTGTATATTTAATTTTTTTTAGATCATAAAGTTTAATTATACTATTATTATTTAAATAGATATTGTTTTTATAAAAATCAAAGAGAATCTCACACGTATCTTAGATCTCAATGTCAATTGTAATACTTACATATGGGTGTTGGTTAAAATAAATTTTATGTATATGCTTAACTTATATAATCCTACTTTAACCAAATTAGATATTTTAATTTTTTTTACACCCAAACTCTTCTACAAAACCAAAAGAGAGTAGCAATGCTATATGTATATATATCCACAGGACCACAGATATCTTGAAAACGAACAAAGAAAACCACACAAACAAAAACCATATTAATTACCCCCAGACACCACTGTTTTCAAAACCACCCTTCTCCATCTCCATCTGTAATATATCCACATACCCAAATTAAGTTGTTAGAGTTTTTCCCTCACAAACTACATCATTGATCAACCCTCCTTTTTCCTTTGTACTTAAATTATATAACATTCATTACGATAAAGACTCACCTGGGTCCTCTGTTTGCCTTGAACGCCCAATAAAAAATAATAATGTACTAAGCCTTGTAGTTAGTTAATAATGAGATATTGTCATTATAAACAAATTAAATAAAGATTAATAATTCTTAAGAATGTATTATGCTCCCCTATCTTCCACTGCAAACTTGTTAGTGTTTATTCCTAGCCCCAATAGATTTTCAAAAATTAATCTTCAGGGTCGCTTGCATTAAAAAAGTTATGTTCGAGGGCTCAAATAATCTGTTTTATAGTTTAAGATTATCAACACATTGTCTCTGATGCATATCAATTATGAGTAATAATATAATTTGATTGATCCAAGTATATCCTAATATATTTCTAGACTCTTTTCTTATCTTTTGCTCTTTATTATATTCCAACATAATATCACAATTGATGTAGATGATGAAGGCATTACTGTAGAATTGCCCAGGAAAAAGATAAATGTGGAGAAGGATTGATCTCGACTCAATTAAATATGAATAAAGAACGAATAAATGATAATAGTTTTTGAATATTTTATAGTAAAACTTAATTTTTGAGTAAAATTAGGAACATTTAGAAGGGATTTTCATGTAAATTTTTTAATACTTTTATGTGAATGATTTTGTCATATAAAATTATACTAGAGTCACCATTAATCTTTAGTATTTATTTTTTTATTTTAACTTTATCAATAATTAAGATGTCTTTCAGTCTTGTGAAAAGTATGTGCTCTGTGTTGAGCTTATACAAGCCATCTTAATATTAAGTATTTGGTTATATTTTTATTAACACATCAACAATATATTATTGTGTTTTTTTCAAACTTAACACTACATTTAATGACTAGGATAAACAAATTGAACATCGATGATTTAATCTGATAAACGAATATGTTACATGAAGTTTGATATTACAAATTTAAAAAAAATAATATTGTGTATGAAAGTATATAAAAGTATATTCATCCCAGTTTTATACACAAATCTATTTCATAAATTTTTTTTAAAATGTTTAAATAAAATTTGTGACAAAAGTAGTAATCCATGTTTATAGATTTTAATTCAAAATGAATCTGACTTATTTTATAGTAAGAAAATAAATAATAAATAAATAAATAAATAAATAATTCTGATATCTAACCACGTGCATTGCACGTGCATAAGAACTAGTATTGTTAATCTGTAGGCTATTATAACTAATCCCCTAGCTTAGTGTTGCGGTGCTGTTATATCTGTAGATTATATAACTTCCTCCTCTAGCTTAGTGTTGTTATACTACTTAATCTAGGGATTATCTTAATAAAAAATCTAATATAGTTGAAGAAAATGCACAATCTAAAGGAATTTCCCTCTTCATTATGGTTAAAGAGTACCATATTTTGACCTTCAGAGTTTAAACATCATGTCTCTGTTTGTACTTACCGCTTATATTTCTTCTCTCGGTCTGCTATGTTCTCCATGCCTAACCATTTGAACTTCAAAAAAATAGCCTGACATTATCTATGCAGGCAAGAGTTACATAAAAGGTAGGTTTACTGTTGTACTTTGACCCAATTGATCTAAAGATTCTAAACGACGTATGGCACCAGTTCAAAGGTGATAAATGTTTGGGCATGGGTAGGGCCGAACCATGGGCCAGCCTGGCCCGAATTAGGCTGGACCAAACCCGGCCTGGTATTAACCTAAGCTATGGTCCTGGCTGGGTCAAGCCCTAAACCAGGAACAAGTGGCTTGGCCCTACCTAAATCAGGCCCGACCCACATGAGGCCCGGCCCAGCTAAGCCAGGCACAGCTCGACACTTTACATTATTTTTTTGTTAATTTGGGGGTGGATACCAACCTCTGCACCGGCGAGGAGCTCCGACGAGCTCGATGTCGACGAGGCGAAGCCACAGGTGAGGTCCAGGCTATCTTCGGCAGCGCCCCCCCCGAGCTCTGCGTTCGAGCTCGAGCCCCACGTGCGAGCGCCTCCACCCAACTCTGCGTTCGAACGCAACCCTGCGTTTGGCGATGGCGTCCTTTGCGTTCGAGCGCTCCCACCTCTGCGTTCGGCCTCGAATTTGGCGTCGAAGCAGTCGCTGGCGACAGGCTGTCGCCAGCCCTCCACCTCCGCCTATAAAAGAGACCCCATGCCCTAGGGTTTAGCTGCTGAAGAACTTCCCCCTCTCCTCCGATTTCTCCTTCTCTGGTGGCGGCGGCTGCCCTAAAATCGCAGAGGCGATTTTTCTCCAGCTCTCAACGCGATTTTGAGAGAGAGAGAGGGGATTTAAAAGGAGAGAGAGAGAGAATTAAAGAGGGTTTAATTGTGGGGTATCATTTATTCTCAAGTTGAGAATTGAAAGGGGTTCATACCCTTTGATTATTAACACTGTAGCTACAGTGTTTATCTGAGAAATCTCAGTTTTGAGATACGCTCCTAAATTGTAATTTCTTGTTTAATTAATAAGAAATTATCTGTGTGGCTCCCGAGGACGTAGGCAGTTGCCGAACCTCGTTAAATCTTGGTGTACTTTTCTATTCTGCGTTTCTGTTGCAATTAGGGATTTAGGCATTAAAATTCCTAACAAACCATTGATCAACAATCAACAATATACTTCACTCCGGAGAGTGGATAACATGAAACGAACTCGTCAAAAGGTAGATGACAGCGGATTGTGGAGGAGTCAAATTGATGATCTGAGAGTTGGATGTAAGCGCTAGCACCTCAGGAACAACACGCTAAAATTTTGTCTCGATTGGACAACGTTTCGCCTTTGATCAAGGATAAACTCTCTGCTGGTTGGAATTTTCAGGCAACTCACATTCGCTTGTTCTCTCTACTTCTCATTATTTTGCTAAAACTTGCAACCAATCCTTAGGGCTTTATATAGTCATCTCCTGGCCAGTTGCCAATGCAAAAGGTAATGCATAATTGCTCTTTCATATTCCCATGGGCAACCTTCAAACTTCGTTTACTTTGCATCCTCCAAT